CACAAAATACAAATGAAATATAAAGTAGATAAATAAGTAACACAAAATCTAAGGCACTTTAAGCAGCAAATGCAGCAATATAATAAAAATATATAGGAATATAATAAGGGAATGCTGCATGGGAGCAGCATTTGCAGCAGTCAACAGTCAATGTGCAATTATGCATGTGCAAACTGAGAATATAAACAGGATAGGTCGACAGTACATGACATATTTCCTGGTAACAAACTCCTCAGCTGTTTAGGAATCTGATGGCAGAGGGAAAGAAAGTTTTTCAGTCTAGAGGTCCTGCATTTCACACTGCACCAGACAGTGATGCAGCTGGTCAAGATGCTCTCAACAATGCAGCTGTAGAGGTTGCTGAGGATCCTAGGCAACATGCCAAACCTCCTCAGCCTCCTCAGGAAGTACAGCAGCCGTTGGGCCTTCTTGACCAGCTGTGTGGTGTTATGTGTCCAGGTGAGGTCCTCACTGATGTGAACACACAGGTATTCGAAGCTGCTCACGCTCTCAACTTGGAGTCCCCGGATGAACAGTGGCTGATGAGATCTCCTCTCCTTCCTCATGTCCACTATCATCTCCTTCGTCTTGTCCGTGTTGAAGCTGAGATTATTGTCTTTGCACCATGACACCAGACTGGCCACCTCCCTCCTGTAGGCTGCTTCGCCAGTGATGCAACCTGACTGTGGTGTCGTCTGGGAACTTCAGGATGATGTTGTACTTGTGGGAGGCAACACAGTCGTGGGTGAACAGGGTGTAGAGGATGGGACTGACGACACATCCCTGTGGGGTGCTGACGTTTGTAACAATGCTGGCTGAAATCCTGTTGCCAATCCTGACAGTCTGGGGCCTGTCAGACAGAAACTCCAGGAGCCTGTCACAGAGGGTGGGGTGCAGACCTAGTGTGAACAGTTTGTGGGTGAGTTTGTGGGGGACAACTGTGTTGAAGGTGGAATTTTCCGGGTGAGAAAGGGACTGGTGGGGGGCAGCCGCAATGGCGTCTGAGGTGGCCCTGTTGGGCCGGTAGGTATACTGCAGGGGGTCCAGGGGGGCCGGTATACTGCTCTAAATGTGGGCCAGAACCACTCTCTCAAAGCACTTCATAATGATTGGGGTGAGTGCCACTGGCCTGTAGTAGTTGGCAGATGACCAGGCTCTTCTTGGGAAGGGGGACAATGGTTGAGGTCTTAAAGCAGGTGGGAATGATGCTCTGGCTGAGGGAGAGGTTGAAGATGGAGGTGACAACATCAGCCAGCTCGCTGGCACATGAGAGCCCTCCCAGCGATGTTGTCCGTTCCTGCCGCTTTGTGGGAGTTGATCTTCCTCAGGACTGTGCGTACCTGGTCTGGTGAGACAGTTAGTGGATTGGAGTTTGGGGGCTGGGTGGTCTCGGTGTGTGTGCCTCCTCTCTGTGTTGTGGCTTGAGGTCTCAAAGCGGGTTTAGAAGGTGTTGAGGTCATCCAGCAGGCTGTCTGTGGAGCTGATGATGCTGGTGGTGGTCCTGTAGTCTGTGATGTGCTGCAGGCCTCGCCACATCTGTCTGGAGTCAGCAGTAGAATAGAAGCCATTCAGCTTCTCTCTGTACTGCCTCTTGGCCACTGTGATGGCTTTCCTCAGTCTGTACTTCGCTGCTTTGTACTCCGATCGCCTGATCTGAATGCATGAGAGCGAGCACGCAGCATGTGGCATACGTGACTGTTTATCCAGGGCTTCTGGTTGGGGAACCTCCTGACTTGTATGGTGGGCACAGTGTTGTCGATACAGGTACTAATGTACCCACTGTGTCTGCCGTATGTGATGTGTTGCTGGTTAACTAGCAGATTAACGATCCTTGATGTAATGGTCAGTGCTACCCTACCTGTTGGAATTACTTTCACTACTTTGGGACTGTATGTGGTCGTGTGGGTGAAGACACAGCGACCACCGGTTGGATTTACTGACCTTGAAGCCACTTGAAATGGAGTGATGTTTCCACTACTAAGTGGGACTTAACAGTAAGTTTAAGAAAACACGTTGCATGTCTGTTAATGTGTTGTTTCTGTAACGTTAGATAGAATTGTTGTAAGGCTGGAGAAGTTACTACAGTATGTCTGTATTATGCCAGTTAAAATATGGGATTTCTCAAATACCGCTTTGTTTAGAGTGTTAAAAATGTCTCTTCATTGGTACATATACTGTTGTTTACTTATCTATGGAGGAGAAATTCACATTAATTAATGCCGTTTCGGTTCGCTGTGCTGTCCATCTGCGACATAACACCGGCAGCAGGAGTTGTGCTCTTTCACAAACTGTCCTCTCGTTTTAAGGAAGAGGCTTTTTGGCTCTCTGATACTGAAACAGTTGCAAACTGTTGGGAGTTGTGAGGCGTGCCAAGCTAATCTAGAGGTACCCAAGATTAAACATTAAATGGCTGGAACCAAGCAAAATGAGCATGCCACGGGCACTTTAAATGTGTCAGTTTTATTTGTAGAGCCTGGGACAGGAAACAAAGTTCTTTGTTTGCAGTGTAGTGTACTGTATGTTCTTGACTGACAAATGTTTCATCTTTACAGCTATATTTTTGCTGTCTTATAAGCCTGGAGCACCTGGAAACCAAACACGTCCATGACACAGTAAATAACTAATTAATAATTGTAGCACGTGTATGTTGCTCTGTGCTCAGACCAAGTGTAAGGTTGTCGGTACTCGAGATTGTCACCCTGACACCTTCAACCCTTTGTCAACTGAGCAGCATCATA